ACAAAACCATTCTCTGAGACTCCAGTTGGTTTGGTCCTTTATTTATTGATGTGGAACAGTTCCCAGTGCTATCTCAGTCTTTATTTTATTGTCAAGAAGACAAAAAAAAAAAAACACACACGCACACACAAAGAAAACATGCACGGCATCATTCATTTGCTTCTGTTTTCACGGTTTTGTCCTGCTGCAGTTGTAGATTTTCTGTGCAGATCACGTAGTTTAGTCCCTTAACTGAGAAAGACAGACTTGCCTTGATTACCAGCAAAGATGTACTATATATGATAGAGATGAAAACTCCATTAAATACATTTTGTAAACTGCAGAGATTTGTAGACGCGTATATGAAACCATAAAATTATGGCTTGTTGAACCGTGGACAAACTTGGATCTGAGAGGGAGACAGCAAGACCAAATCACTGATTCAACAGGCTAGACTCTTATATTTTACTCCCATGAATGGAACTTGTGGTAGAGCAGATTTGTGTGTTGTGATTTTAAAAATATTTTTGGTCATTCAACCACAGATTGGCAGTCAGGGATGTAGTGAACTGTGATTTTATTTATTTATTTATTTTTTTGCCAACACTGAACATAAGTGCGAAGCGATAACGAAATACTCCAGTGGTGAATATTCAGTTCCGCCATACAATCATAGTAAACCTAGCTGAAATAAAATGTTTCATGACACATAATTACAGAATTAGATGCTGCACGGTTATCAGTCTGCCTAGGCCTGGTTGAGGGCTTGTGTGTGTTTTATATGAGTGTGATTCACGCGTCTAAGCTAGGCTGCACGAAACCGAATTAAAATGCTGTCCGCGTACTGGACATCCGAACAGGAACTGTACTGTAGGCACTTATTTATTCATGTATTCATTCAGGATCAATAAGGAGACCGGCCGCTCCCGGCACTCCAAATTATAAGTTTGATGCCCCAGAGATTAACCGAGACGCTTCCTGCATAATTTTAATTTGTGGTCTGAAGGCTCACAGCATTCTCGGTAACACCGATTCATCATTTAAAATGGTCGAAACATTAAAGTTAGCAAAGTTAGTGACTGGAAACGCCATCGTCAAGGCGGGAAGGAGTTTCACCGAAAGAGTGTTTCGATCGATAACTGTTGAGGGCGAGGAGCGTTTATTTCTGTCGAAATTCAGCTAGTAGAGGCACTAAGCCTGCTTATTGTATTCACAGTTCTACTGAAACAACTGCTTTGACGCGTACGCCAAATGTTTTGCAGAACACATACAAATACATATATCCGGAAAAAAAAATCTTGCTTTTGTGACCAGGTCGAAGTGTTGAGTTCTGTGTTTCTTTAAGTGCTGTTTTTGTCTGCTTTTTACGTTTCATTTTACTCCTTAGTGTCTAGCAACAATGCATGCGTGTTTGTTACGACAGTATAGATATACAATATCTGTCAGATTTTGAAGGAAACAAATATGAATATGGTGCTTTGTATGTTTCTGCAAGATAAAACTTGAATAGGCTGTGTGATAATGTAAATCACTAAGAAGAGAAAACGCACACGTAAAGACAATTTGAAGTCATGCAATATTCAATAAGCCCACTGGCTTGGTGCAAGGTCACCGCTTATGTTGAAAGCAAAAAGTCCTATTTAACCATGGTCGTTTTTGATTAAGTTAAACAAAATAAAGTGTTTTCAAAAAACACCCAACAATGCATCACTGTCATTATTACAATATATTTCTCAAATAACTGCTGTTCTTTTAATATAACTTAACATTACACACATACATAAAAACGAAGCTGATATGTTCATAGGGTCATTTACGCATAAGCCATAGGTGAAGTCAGTCCCCTGGACGGATGTGGGTGTATGTGATGTCAGTCATGACGTTGTTTCTTTCTAAGCTACCTATAATTATTTATTTTGGGTAATGTAGCAAATAAACAAAAAGTGATCACCATCATGTGTGCATTTAGAGATCAGCAATTGTTAACCTTTCAGACTGCTGAATAAAGTACCAGATGTTTTTAACTTGAGACTAACAATAAAAAGTAAGTTGAGTCTGACATATTTGTCAACTAATTTTACATATCACACATGTCCAAATCTAAGTTCAAATGTTGATAAGCAGTCATGGGCAGGGCCTAGTCTGGTGAGTCACGTTTTATGAGTCATTACAGCTGGGTGGAGAGTCTTACCGAGAACAGGGTGGATAATATAGAGAATGTAAAGCATGAAATGAGTAAAAGATGATTAATAAGCTCACACTGTGCCTTCTTTGCTTTGGGAGGAACTGTGCAGAACTCAAACCAGCATTGAAAACTATTGGTATCATCTTTATAGAGGATCCATGTTCAGTTCAGTTCAACTGCCTCTACTCCTTCATAAACAAATACATTATAGTATGTGTTGTTTAATTCAGGAATGAAGGTCATAATAATTTAAATGTGTATTAATAAAGAAACCCACCTACCTAAAGATCATGTGACTTTTTTTATCAGTTCCTTTTCATTAACCTCTCAGCATCCGGGTATTCCAGTTTATTCACAAAGGTACAGGGCATGAAACTGCTGTGCTTGGGGGATCCGGATGGGGGCTGCAGATTGTACGTTTGGCACTTACAGAGCTGTGACCGGATCTGAAGCTGCGACAATGGATGTAAAACATGTTCTAGAAAATATCGACCAGTTTATGTTGTAGAGAAATAGATAAAAAATCATTGTAAATGGACTGAAAAGAAAGCCTTTGTTTTTATTACTTTTTGCTTTTCTTTTCTTTGCGCCTGTAAGTGGACTCTGCGCCAGAGCAGCTCTGCATATCGTGATTGTTCATCCTTTTCGTTATTTCAGCCGTAGATTGGCTGTCAGTGTTGTTGTAATTGTGGCGAGTAGTTTCTCTGCCAACACTGGACAGAAGCGAGTGCGAGGAGATTAAACACCTCGAGGCTGGATATTCACTTACAACATGCAATCAAAATGAAACTTGCTGAGAAGTTTTGTGTAGTTTATTTAATGACGGCATTATATGCTAGACGGTTATCGGTATGAGTGTGTTTAAGGGTGGTTGTGGTTTAGTGTGTGACTCATGCATCTATGTCTGGCTGCATGGTATAAAATGATGGATGTGTGTCATTCATTCCCTCTTTTCTTTATTTACCTAAATGCCTCATATATCCAAAATTCCTCTTTAAATATGTTTTATATGTTTTTATATCTAACATATTTCTTGTCTTTTACTGGTTACCGGTTGTCTCTTGTGCAGCAGATTTGGTTGTGTTTAAAATATGCTTAATAAACTTGATTGACTCATTCTTGATGTTATTTAATCATATTTGAAGTCACACAAAGAAATAATAGCTCTACTGATTAGGTTTGGCTTTAATGGTTTTATCATGTAATGGGAAGCATAGAGCATGCTTTGGTCAAATATTACTATGGGAATTTTTACATCTATACACTTGTTTGTTAGATTATGTAATTAACGTAACGTAAATTAAGTGGCAATTACTCAGGATGACTAATTTGCTGTACTAGTTAAATTTTATATGTGTACAAGTAAGTTCAGACTTGTATTTGTTGAGACAGAACAGAAACTCTTCTGTCCTTATACTTACCTGTCGGTAAACCAACAACAAGCCAGATGAGTAGAGAAGTTTGGTCCAGTCTGGTAAAATTCCTCCTATGATGCAAGGGAGTTATGACAAAGCAGAAATGAAAAATCTTGCATTCCTCATCAAAATCCATCCATCCATTTTCTATAAGCGCTTATCCAATTCAGGGTCGGAGGGGCGGAGCCTATCCCAGGGGCTACGGGCACAAGGCAGAGGACAGCCCGGAATGGGGTGAAAACTCACCAGTCATCAAAATCCGCAAAAGTGAAAGAACTTTCTGGAAGTGTTTGTTGTGGTGTGCTGAACACAAAACCAGCCATAGAGACAGTCGGGCTTTTAAAAGGGTAAATAAATGTTATGTAACAAGTATTATTCAGTTGAATTCAATTCATCTTTATATAGCGCCTTTCACAACAGAGTCGTCCCAAGGCGCTTTACACGGATGTGTTGTGATACATTACAACATCATTAGAGAGAGTAACACAGAAGTATTATGTAGGTATTGATATATTTCAAAGTAGCACCGTTCCTTTCACACATGGTTTTATAGTTCATAAATCAAATGGCAAAATGTGTGCACCATTGTAAATTCTGTTAACACACATATCATCACAGCTAATCTTCAGATTTTAACATCAGATAATCTATGTGTTTATAAATATACTGTTTTGGAAGCCTGGGGACCCATGCAGTCTGGCGAAATGTCATTTATATATTCACTGACATTAACCCGATAGCAGAGAATAATAATAATAATATACAATTGATTTTTTAAAAAACCTTTATATACTTGTAATGGAAGCTTAAAATATTCAGATTATGTTTATATGATTATAGCACCTGCATGTATTTCTATATGCCATTTAGTTGGTTATGTAATGCATCAGCCATTAATCCTGGCAGATATGTCACATGACATCCTCTCCAGACTGTAACTGCAGGCCCTACCATTTGGAATACTTACCATCCCCTCACTCAGACCTCAGATTTTACAATCCCACATGCAGGCAAAGGATTGAAACATAAAGTGCTCTTGTATCAATGACGCTATTAAAACTGCTTAGGACACATACTCCTTAGTGAACAACATATAATCCCTCCTGTTTGCAATTACCTTTAAATCTCTCCTCACACTTTCTTGTACTCACTTCAATTGGCACCTGCTGTTCAGACCTTTTTATAATGCAGACTGCAAGATAAAGATTGGCAACTTGTAGGTTATGCATTCAAGTCCCAAGATGGGTTATAATAGGCTATAGCACTCTCTGAGAGGGGTGCATGGCTTACGCTCATGCAACAAAAATAAAACTCTTTTTAAAGTAATACATTTTAACTTAAAAACTACAACTAGTGCATTTCAAACGTGCTTCGTTTTTAATGTATAGTTTTTAATTATATTTTGCATATGCATAATGCGAAGCAGTCTTGGAATGCGTTTTGTGCAGGGACACTGCAAACACCGCTACACGCGACTGCCGCCGTGAGCCCTGGCAATATCGTTCTACACGGATATGAAGTTGCCGAGTCATGCTGATGTCGAAATCATGCAGGGAACGTCGGGTGAAATGCCTGAAGCAGGAGACAGCGCATAGTCTCGGCGTAGAGGGAGCGCTCGGACGGAGCAGGCCACGGCAATTACCGGCTATCTAAGCAGGGACTTTGAACTTAGAGCGACAGGACGCCGGGAATCGGACGTGAATATAACGGCACCCTGCTGTATCAGCGCCGATCTCGCCGCGCAGAAAGACGGCGTGGGAACCCCGTCTGCATGTTTTTCACGTTGACAGCTGCGTTGGCTTAAGCCGGGGGAAAGTCGTTCACGACGCACGAGCGCGTTTGACAAACATACTTGCTGGGCGAAATATTGGTGTCCGGATCGCGATCTCGTTTCAGGTAGGTAACGACCACCCCGCTATTTGCAGCACTTCACCTGAGTCGTAACATTTAATCGGGAAAAAGTGCGTTTCACCTACAGCAGTTTTACAGTATAATTGTCGCTGGCGGAAGATGGGGGAAGTTGTATTTTAAAGTAATAAATGGATCAGTAAAACCGAAAGTGAACAGCCTGTGCAAATATTGGCACGCAGTCCTATAAAGTTTCTGTCGACGCTGCCTATATTAATACTAATATTCTGTCTGCTGTTAATCTTCGGCTTGGAGGCGTAGCGTGTGTCATATGACATTTTTCTTACTTGCTTTTCTCATGTAACTTTTGAAAATTTAACCCATTCTGTCCATTTTAGAGGGCTGATGCAGTAGATAAATATCTTAGGTTTACTGTTGCGTTACCTAGTTAAAAAACAAAAAGTCTAAAGTGAATTAATTTTGACTAGAAAGGAATTGTTACGCTACGTTGTTCATAATTTTAAGCCTCGGAGGGCCGTTTTCTCGCACAAACCGGAGTGATTAACGGATCGTGTTTGATTCGGATCGTCGAACAAGAGGGTTTCGTATATGATGTGCTGTTAAGTGCAATTATCATCCCTAGCTTTACGTGTTTATTGCTTGATAGCAGGCCCTAAAGTACACTGACCTACACTCGGAATTTGCTGAGTAAATACGCCAGTCCGGCTTTCGCTTCTGGTGGTCCGCTGATTGTTACCCATTTTACCACCTACCCTCTAAAGCCTTTTCTTAAGTTTTATTTTGGTACTGAGTTGGATTCAAAAACAAAAGAGAAACAAAACACCATTTGTTATATATTTACCTGGCAAACGCATCAATTCAGAACAATTAATTTATACACCCAAGTTCTTTGCGGTGATTCTACCGATTCGGTTCCATTTGCATGTTATTAATCTTATTTTAAAGAAATTATTGGTTATATACTTGTTCAAAAAATATATGTTTCACTATGTGTGCAAGTTGAAAGTAACAGGACTGAGTGTTATCATAAAATCAGCAAATTCTTAGTCACGTCACCAAACCTAACAGTATGACAACACTGAAAACATATAGGTGTTTTATTAATAAATGAATAAACTAAATCTAAGAAATAATTTGGGTAACAGGACTGAGCGTTGAGTTTGACTGCCTCACCAAAAATATAGGGAAAGGAAGAGAACTTCCCTTTGGTTTTCGGGTGGTCTTCAGGCAACTGAGATCGATGATGGAAGTTCCAGCTGAATGTGCCACTTGTGGAATGTGCCAGATTTTTTAGGGCCAGAAAAGTAATAGGGTAACAGGACTGAGTGAAGTCCTGGGGACACAATTAAAACAGTGTATTTTACGTAGCATATTATCGATTTAATCTAAGGAAAATAGTTAAAGCATAAATGGGAAAAATCATTATAATAAAAAAAATTAGATTTGAATTTTTTTAATCGTTATATTTCACGGTGTTCTAGATAGTTCTCATTACTGTTTTACATTATGTATGTTAAATGGGCAATGAGGACACTGCTTGATAAGAACATGTATTATAAAGCTACTGCTCATGCATTTTTATATATACAGTCCCATAACGATTCACTCGGTGATAAAATCACTCTACACTCAACCACCTATTTTAAATCAGTTTTTAAATGACCTGTGGCATTACTAAGACCAAATGAACAGACAAAGAAAAATCTATTTGGCTCTACACAGCGCTTTTCTTCCGATTGATCTAACCAAGCACACACATACCTGTGTGACCACCTATGCTGTCGCAGTTGCTTCTGAGCCAAACTTTGTTCCTACAGCATGTCTGTGATGGTCACTGATGCACTTGGTTATGATCCATTTGCCAATGCACTGTAAGTACAGTGTTTATGCAGGAACTAAATGATGTTTGTTTTTTTTTGTTTTTTTTCTTGACAACCAAGTTCAACTAGCAATACTTAGTCTGTGCTTTGAGTTATTGACCCACCCGTTTAAATTTAAACGTGCTACATTGTTACAATGTCCTGATGGTCGAGTTACAGCCAACCTGACTAGTTTTAAATGCAAATATAATTTTTCAGGTGCCTTAAGAGAACCTGAATCGGGCTGTAATTTAATCAATTTCTACAAGTTGGTATTTTTACTGATGCACTTGTGATTTAGTACAAACTCAGAGGTGCGCAGAACCTCCAAACTGAAAACCTGCCGGAATCTGGTCTCGACTTCAGCTCCTCAACCAAACTACTGCTAACACTCTAGCCTTTGTGAGATAAGGGCTGTATTTGGCCAGCAGAAATGAAATCTCCTTGTGTGTGCGATCTCCTCCAGTAGCTGCATGTGTTAGGGTTCAGTTATAGGTGTACAGTCGGCTGGCACAATGGGCCGGATAGGAGGCTGAGACTCCCCCCGGGCTGTGGATGCAGTAGCTCTGTGTCCTGCAGTGGATCACAGCTCCTTTAGGCTGAACTGCCTGATCGCTGCAGTCAGGAAACTCAAGACGGCAGCTTTTCTGCAGGATGACTGACGGCGGCCTTTCAGCGGCGATTGTCCGCCGTTCCGGGTCGACTTTCCTTTAAAGCCCTGGTCCGCTGGGTCTTGCACAGGGTACGAGTTTAAACACTAGTCAAGAGAATAGACAGAGCTGCATATTTACTGAAGTCGTCCGTGAAAACCATCTTGGCGTACTGGCTGGTGACAGTTTTTTTTTATATTCCAAAAAGGCGAAATATATATATATATACAGTATACACATACACACATACAGACACACACACACACATATATATATATATATATACATACTGTATATATAAAAATATAGCACTAATAAGCTAGATGGTTAAAATGATGCCAGTTTGATCATTCTGAAGCCCTGCTGTGGGGAGTGGGCATTAGCGCTGGGGGAGAGCTGGCTCTGAACCCCAGTGGGGGGGGAGGGGCTGCTTTGATGTGCTCTGTTTTAGTTCCCTTGCAGTTTGCAATTGGCTTAAACCAATATAACTCCAGTTTTGTTTCTCCCATAGATAAAAAGATAAAAAGCAGCTTAGCACATAGTGGCTGTTTGCTGAGTACTTGGTGAGCTGACAGAGAATTGGTACAAGTTATTTTCTTTTTTGGGGGGGGGGGGAAGCAAGATGGTCGAATCTTATCTGGGCAGTTGGCTATTATTTTTTTCTTCCTCAGTTTTTTTTTTTGTGTATTTTAATTAGAAAAGCCATTATACGGTTTTCTTGTACCTGCTATTCTGGCCAGCCTCAATTTCTGTGTGTGTGTGTGTGTGTGTGTGCGTGCGTGTGTGTGTGTGTGTGTGTGTTTCACGCTCCCAGTAACTGGAGGTTTATTGGCTTGTTTTCTTGCTCCTCCCCCCCCCGACCAGAGAGCACTGTAATGGTGAAAGGGAAGTGAGAGTGAATGTGCTGATTTTTTTTCCAGACGTTGTACGGCACTCGCACAAACACAGAAATGATTTTCCTCCTTATAAGCATTATCCATAAACTGGGAACACACGGTGGTACATGATGACGTTTTAAAGGCATTTGTTTTAATCAGATAAAATGGTGTCGCTTTGTTTACACTCAAAATAAGGTCAAAAGCTTTGATCCAGCTGGTACGATAAGCTGGTACAGTAAGTTCGTAGTTCACCTGTCCACATGACATAAATTTTGTCATCAGAAGCGACCATGCTGGCTGCGCACGTGCAGCCCAGATTTTACGTCTCGCAGACTTGTTGCGCATCGATGCACGTCCACTGTGCATGCGCAAGGAATTATTAGTCTGCTGGTCTGGTGGAATATAACTGCTGTATGCATGCAGTGACCGTCTGCGTATGTGGACAATGTCCCTAAATGTTGAATCTAAGCAAAATGATCTGTGCACTTGCCCATGCGCCATCTGCAGCTGCACTTGGACAAGTGGAGCATGAACTGTGCTTTAAGCAGAGAGTGCTGAACTTGAAATGCGGGATTTTATAAATTAGTAGGCTGTAGCACTAATTAATCCACAGACGGGTCCACAATCTTGCTCCCCTCCAGCTCCCGGTAGGAGCCAAGATGTGGACCGTCTTGGGGTCGGTCCCCGAGGACCGGATTGGGAAACGCTGTTGTAACCCTACTTCCTTCTTCTCTAGGTTGATGGTCCTCCATTCGGATCTGCAGACGTCTTGTCCTGTGGCTGGAGGTCAGTTTTCATAACCTGTGACTCTCACCACATGTGAGGAGGTACCACAGAGGATGCTGGGAAGAGCCCCCGGTCTGATGGAAGTCTTTTAAAAAAGACTCTGCTGATGTGCCTCGCTGCAATAAAGTCGGGTTTTCTTGAGTATAAAAACCCACCAGCTTTATCATTGGTCTAGGGAAGAATCTTCAGGCTTTTCTGCTCCAAGTACAGGGGGTCACTGGGTCTGGAGCCCCTTCACCCATGTGCCACCTTTTGTCCTTGTCCTATGGTTTCTCCGTTTGGTCCGGCAGATGTGTGCAAAATGTGCGCTGGGCTCTCAGGTGTGAACTGAGCTGGTCTTCTGAAGCGGGGTGAGGTACACAACCTGCTCGGACCTCATCTCCAAAGAACACCCCCCAATCAAATCCCGCCACAGTGATCAGGGCTTAAACAAGCGGCCTACTTCCTAGCCCGCCCTGACCTGCCTCAGAGCCAAACCGATTTCTCTGTGTCAGCTTCCTACTCCTTCTTATCTAACCACACTGAGGACTGTGGAGGTACAAAGGGGAGGATGATATGTATGAGGAAGAAGAAGCCCACCAAGGACAAGGACTTCTCGGCCATCGCCGTCCCGTCCATGAGGGGCGAAGGCTACCTGGACTACAGAGTGGAGAGCCACCCCTCGCAGGCCCTGCAGATCATGGAGGAGCTCCGACACCACGGCCTGCTGTGCGACCTGGTCTTGCACGTCACCTACAAAGGCTCCTGCGTGGACTTCAAGGTGAGGAACTCACGGGATTGGCGTGGTGTGACTGCAGGAACCGTTTGGCCAACAACATCACGGGTACCCTGCAATTTTAGTGCAAGACTGAGCATGAACATCCCCACGTGAGACAGAAAGTCTCTCCACCAAAACAACCAAAGCTCAGGAAAGGAAGCTGTGTGCTCGAGAGCTTGTAATTAACCGAGAGCTCCCATAATCCTCTCTCGTTGTGTTTTTCAGTTTTTCACTCTACACATTCTATATTAAAAATATGTTGTATATGTTATATACACAGATGAGCCAAAACCCATGTGAGGCAAATTATGTTGACTATCTCGTAAAAACGGTGCATGTTAAGGTCTGGGTCCAAGACTCTTTAGCAGGATGTGAATGAAGGTTAATCCGCCTGGCATCCCAGGGTAGTGTATGACTCAGCAGGTTAGGACCTGGTACGTTTGGTTGGAAGTTTGCTGGTTCAGATCCCAGTGTCTGCAGAGTGATGTCACTGTTGGCCCCCTGAGCAAGGCCCTAAACCCCCAGGGACCGCCTGACTAAAATTTTGAAAAAAAAATGATGTGACTATGGTTAAAGCCATCACTATACTGAATGCTGCTAAGCTGACAATCTGATCCAGTGCACCTTCATGTTTACAGTACAGTCTCATGGTTTCAATTAAGTTGGACTCGTTGCTTAATGTTAGTGCTGCTATTTTCAAGTGCAACAGGCGAAAAGTGCAATATCTTTAAACCATGGGGTATGACTTCTTTATCGTGCTGGTCTGTTTGTTTATTTATTGTTTGTCTATTTATTTGATGTTTTATTGTTACTATGTGACTGTGACTGCTGTTTGGATGTGACACTGGAGAGGATGCACCTTTTAAAATTCCGTTGCTGTGGAAACGACGACAATAAAGCATCAGAATCTGAATCGGAATAGTGTGTGCTAAATGGATCAAAGGTCTGAATGTAACTGAATGCTCTTCTCCTAGGTCCACAAGGTGGTCCTGGCCTCATGCAGCCCCTACTTCAAGGCCATGTTCACCAATGACTTCAGGGAGTCGCATGCCTCTGAGGTGACCCTGCCGGACGTGTGCCCCCAAGTGGTGGGCCGGCTGATCGACTTCGCCTACACGTCGCGCGTGACGGTGGGGAAGGCCTGCGTGCTGCACCTGCTACTGGCCGCCATGCGCTACCAGATGGCGGACGTGGAGCGGGCCTGCTGCGACTTCCTGGCCAAGAACCTGGAGCCTGCCAACGTCATCGGCATCGGCCGCTTCTCGGAGGAGATCGGCTGCAGCGAGCTCCACCTGCTCAGCCGGCAGTACATCAACACGCATTTTAACGAGGTGGGCATCTCGCGTCCTCGCCGCCCGCTGCATGCCAGCGGACGCCTTAACGAGGTGGGCGCCTGGATCCGCGCGGCCCCCGCCGCCGCTGGCTGCGTCTGCGCAGCTGACAGTGTGTTGACACGCACGCTGATGAGCCTCTGCTTATGTTCCCGCCAAAGTTGCCGAGGCTGCATTTTGCAGAGGAAGCTACTTTGGCTCTTGGGAATTTCGTCAGTTTTTTCCTGAACAAAATGTCCCCTCCTATTGAAACGGGCCTCATCATCCAAGCGGTGGCTTTGCCATTTCTCGTGGCTTTAATGACAATAAATTTACCCACCTTTGTCATAGGAATCAAACAATAGAATTTGCATGTTTTGGAGGTTTTTCTCAGTTACATTTTTCATTACAGACAGAGGTGGAAAGTTCAGGTCTAGAAAGTAAAAATCCAAACCAGAACAGTGTTACACCATAGTTCCCTGACGGTACAAGAAAACTGCACTGTGGATTGACTTAACGACAATCTGACCCACATGTTTGTGAAAACTCATATATATATAACTCATTGTATAACTGAAACAAGACATCACAGCAGAGGATGTAAATACGTCTGTGGTAGTTCACGGACGTGTAGCTATTAGAAAACACTTTGGAGTGGAACGGCGACCTTATGGTCAGTCACTTCTGATCTGGGAGCTTAGCTTGGGGTCTCTGTGCCGCATCTGATGCGCTGGTCGGCCCTGTGACTTCACCGTTTGACTTCCAGTGCAGATAACATGCAGGGTTGTTGGCTGGAAGGTAAAGGTGTTGGGCCAGTACTGATACTGAGATATGACAGATTTACAAACGCATGCGAGTAGCATATAGTCGTCGTTAGATTAAAGTTGTAGGTGTTCAGTCTGTATTTATATGCTGCTGTGAGAGTTGCTGCTCAGTGCTCATTTATATATACAAAGGATTCTATTTTCTCTTTCTGTTTGCCTTTATTCCTGAAGTGTTTAACAACATTCCTGCAGTCCAAGGCTCAGATCTGAAAGGCAAATATGAATCAGCTCGGTAAGATTAACGAGTGCCTGACCGTTTAATGCCATGAGTAATGAGAAGGATTGAAATCTGTCCAGAACTTAATGGGAGACATAATTTCTTTTGGAATGCGGTGATATATTTTAGGTTTGGCCAAAGTCCTGCTTTAGAAGCACATCTTGTATAAGGTGTCGGACCGGCCAGATATCTGTCAAGTGACGTCAACTCCATTATCGTCTGTGTTGTTACCACATAGCAACAGAATATGAATGTGGATCATGTCAGCTGCCTGATACAAACCCCCTGCCTCGTGCATTATGGTGTCTAGAGCCCCCCCCAGTGACCCTGTTATCAGACACACGGTGTGGGAGATAGATCGTTAAGTGCAAATCATTATCATTTTTCCTTTCTATGTTCTTTTTTTTCCATTTCTCATGTCAGTTTGACTCACCATCACTCCTTATCTGAGGATTCAGAAAGCTGTCAAGGAAAATATTTGTTTGTTTTGGAGTAACCCTGGGGTGCATAGTGACCTGGGCGTCATGTTTGTCTGCAGGTGACCAAAGAGGAGGAGTTTTTCAGTCTGTCACACTGTCAGCTCCTGAATCTGATCAGTCAGGACAGCCTGAAGGTGCTGTGTGAGTCGGAAGTCTACAAGGCCTGCATCGCGTGGGTGCGCTGGGACGTGGAGGGCCGCGCTCAGTATTTCCACGCCCTGCTGGACGCCGTGCACATCTACGCGCTGCCGCCACGCTTCCTGAAGCACCAGCTGCAGTCCTGCCCCGTGCTTAGCAAGGCCGACTCCTGCCGCGACTTCCTGTCCCGGATCTTCCAGGAGATGGTGCTACGCAAGCCGCAGCCGCTGCCCCCAGTGCGGGGGCCCCAGCTCATCTACGTGGTGGGCGGGTACCGGCAGCAGTCGCTGGGGTCCTTGGAGGCCCTGGACCCTCACTCCGGCTCCTGGCTGCAGCTGGCCGGCATGAGCGCCCCCAGCAGCGGCCTGGGGGCCTGCGCGCTCTTCGGCCTGCTCTACGCCGTGGGCGGCCGCAACCTGCCGCAGCAGGAAGGCGCCGAGTTGGGCTCGCTCAGCTGCTACAACCCCATGACCAATCAGTGGACGGAGCACAGCCCCATGCAGACCCCCCGTAACCGCGTGGGCGTGGCGGTCATCGACGGCAGCATCTACGCCGTGGGGGGGGCCCATGGCTCCACACACCACAACACTGTGGAGAAGTGAGTGGGGTGTTTGTGGGGGGTGGGGGTCCTCGTAGTCTCTGTTTATCGACTCTGCTAGACCTACAGGGGGAGCAGAAATTCTGATGGTTTATCGCACCTTTTCACCAGTGCGCATTTTTCACAAATGAATAGAAAGCAAAAATAACACATCAATAAAACAGTAATACTTTTAATTTCACCCTTTATTTGAAAATTTGCACGTTTTTCTCAAACAAATAAAAAGCAAAAATAATACAACAATACTAAAATAATACTTTTATTCTTACTCTTTACTTGATGGATTATTATTCATCTTCATTTTATTTTACGTGTACATTAAAATACTGCTGTTATATAAGGGCGTAAATGTCGCTCTCATTCAGGCGTTTGCTTGTGTCAGCCCTTGCTGTGTGATCATACAGGTTTTTTCACAGTTCATAAAGTACCTGACGAGGACAGTGTGCTGACATCACGGCGGGGGCCGTTAGCCACAGGTAGCTGGCTGGGAAGATTATGAGTTCGTTATTGGGTGGTATTTTAGCATCGTACCCGTCAGGCGGCTTGTCAGCGGCCTGGACGTTTCGCAGAAAGTGTTTTCCTCACCATCGCCGTCTGTGTGACCGAATCTGTTCTCAGGAAGGATGTCCTAGGCCTGGATCACCGTGGCCTTTTGGCCTCTCGCACGGCGTCTCTCTCGGGGAAGCGCATTGCAGGCGTACGGGCTGCAGACAAACGCCTTTCATTAAAAACCAGACTAGCTCCCCAGGGGCAGGTGAGCGATTGTGCCAAACCTGCAGGACATCGAGGGTTAAAGGGACACGACACTTCCTAAGTGTGGACTGTGTCACATGGTCTTGTGTGATATAAGAACTGTTGAAATGCTTTGTGCTAAATGGATGGGCTTTAATAAGCAAGACCCTCCAATGCACTGTGGTTCTTGTGATCGATAACTACTGATACTGCCACATCACAGCTTCCAGTTTTGCAGAAGATTGTCCTAAGGACAGTGCGGCAACTGACAACACGCTGCACTTAGTCGTGGTTAAAAAAGGCCACGTTGTTCTGAATGTAGTCAGTAAGGCTTCTGGGTTTTAAGCGGAGTCTTAAAGACAGTGCATGGTTAATCTCCAGCCTGTTACAGGTTCATAGCTGGCAGACTGGGCGTGTCACAGTGACTCAGGCGGAATGTGCCGCAGCTGCTTACTGGTGTATGATCTTGGATCTTTCATCTCTGGGAGAATTGACTCGCGTCGGATTTGCTACGTCGGTGGTTCCGGAATCGGAGCGTCAGGGACACCAGGGATAGGAGATTCCCGAGAAGAAGATGGCGTGGCTCATTCTCGTGTTCGTTAAACAGAGGCGCGCTAAAAGCCACTGGAGTCTGGAGAAATTGCCCAATATTTTTTTGACGCATCATTTCAATGACACTTCAGAAGATACTTTTTATCGATTTTACATTTATTACGGTAAAGTGATAAATCAAACCAGCCTTGCAGATTCCTGACAATTTGCAGGTGAAGAGTTAACAGAGCAGCTGCTCTTAACAGGATGGATCCCTGACTTTAGTCCTTTAAAGGCCGAATGTTCGGTTGTCACTTAGGGGTCTCAACGGACTATGAACCGCGGGTTTACTGGTGGAGAAGCAGAGCCGAATCGCGACGCCATGAAAAGGTGTGAATCCAGATGATGGATTTTTATGCTCCCCCCCGGTCTGTCTGGCAGGTACGACCCCGAGACGAACCGCTGGGCGTTTGTGGCCCCGATGTCGGTGGCGCGACTCGGGGCAGGCGTGGCGGCGTGCGGCGACGTGCTGTATGTGGTCGGCGGCTTCGACGGCGAGAACCGCTGGAGGACGGCGGAACGCTACTACCCGGAGACCAACTTCTGGCAGCCCGTGGCGGCCATGGCGACCGAGCGCAGTGGCCTTGGTAAATGGGGGGGGGGGGGCTTCCTCGGGGTTGGTGACACCTTCACAGCAGTGTGCTAACAGCAGTGACAGCTCCTGGATAAGACATTAACGATGGCTGAGGGGTGAGAGAGGTGGAGCAGGTACAGGAGGGGTCATGTGGTTATTTCTGTGAGCAGCGACACAGTAGGAGGGCTTAGATATCCTGGCAGCTTGGAGGGCACAGCACTTGAGTAGGTAAAATTGGACAAGGAGCACAGGATTTCTAGTTACTGTCCATGAGTAAGGTGTTAAACCTGAACCTTGTACCCCTGTCCATGAGTAAGGTGTTTAACCTGAACCTTGTACCCCTGTCCATGAGTAAGGTGTTTAACCTGA